GGGGGGCGCTCGGCACAAAGAAAGTGGAAAGTTTGCAGCGCCGGGTGGCTGGGGCTAGAGATCCCGGCGCGCACGTGCAGGGCCGGGGGCACCGGCCCCCTGCCAGACCGAGCTCGCAGTTTCTTTTTTTTTTCCTTTCTGCAAGCGAGGGGGGGTGTTGTTGGTATCGCCCCCTCCTTCTCCTCCCCCCAGGGGTGAAAGTGCAAGAGGAAGTGCAGTCGCTGCCATCTTTCCTCCGTTCCGAACACGGAGCCCCGGGCCGCAGCGCCGCCGCTCCGCTGCCGCCGGCGCCTGGCCTAGGGAAGGGCCCACCCCGCTGCCGCCGCCGCCCGCTCGTTTCGGCCGCCGCCACCGCCAAGCTCGGAGGCCCGGCTTGCGCCACCGCCCCCGCGCACGCCCGGCCACCGCCGCCTTCGCCTTTTGTTTCCTTTGCTCCGGCGCCCCCGCCCCGGCTCGCGCTTTGCAGGGGACGCAGCGCGCGCCCCCAGCGGGCCCGGGAAAAGCCTTGGAGCGCGCGCTTGCGCTTGCGCGGCGGACCCCTCCTCCCCGCGCGCGCGCCTCTCTTGGCTGAGCGCCGGCGCCGCCTGGCGGGCGGGAGGGGAGGTGGCAGGAGCATTGGCAGGAGGGGCGCACCTCTTCGCTTGCGTACCCCCCGGAAGGTAGACGAGAAAGGGAGGCGGGCAGGCGGGGAGCGGATCGCGCGGTCCGGTGGGGGCGGGGTGGCTATGTGGGGGGCAGCGCACCCCGCCGTCTAGACATTTTGATTCGGGCAGGGGGCGTGTGCGCTGGGCGCACCTGCGAGACTGACTAGCCCCGGGCAGCACGTGCGGGGAGTGGGGACAAGTCCACCGCGCCCGGCTTCTCGCTGCCTAGGGGAAGGGACTGGGGACCGGCGGGGGCCCGGGCCCGGCTCGTGGGCAGGGGGCGGCGGCCATGGAGCGGGTCAACGACGCTTCCTGCGGCCCGTCGGGCTGCTACACCTACCAGGTGAGCAGACATAGTACCGAGATGCTGCACAACCTAAACCAGCAGCGCAAAAACGGCGGGCGCTTCTGCGACGTGCTCCTACGGGTGGGCGACGAGAGCTTCCCAGCGCACCGCGCCGTGCTGGCCGCCTGCAGCGAGTACTTTGAGTCGGTATTCAGCGCCCAGTTGGGCGACGGCGGAGCTGCAGACGGGGGTCCTGCTGATGTTGGAGGCGCGGCGGCGGCTCCGGGCGGTGGGGCCGGGGGCAGCCGCGAGCTGGAGATGCACACCATCAGCTCCAAGGTATTTGGGGACATCCTGGACTTCGCTTACACTTCCCGCATCGTGGTGCGCCTAGAGAGCTTCCCTGAGCTCATGACGGCCGCCAAGTTCCTGCTGATGAGGTCGGTCATCGAGATCTGCCAGGAAGTCATCAAACAGTCCAACGTACAGATCTTGGTGCCTCCGGCCCGGGCTGACATCATGCTCTTTCGTCCCCCTGGGACCTCTGATTTGGGTTTCCCTTTGGACATGACCAACGGCGCAGCCTTGGCAGCCAACAGCAATGGTATTGCTGGTACCATGCAGCCTGAGGAGGAAGCTGCCAGGGCCACAGGTGCAGCTATTGCGGGCCAAGCTTCCCTGCCTGTGTTACCTGGGGTGGACCGTTTGCCCATGGTGGCTGGACCCCTGTCCCCTCAACTGCTGACTTCCCCATTCCCCAATGTGGCATCGAGTGCCCCTCCACTGACTGGCAAGCGAGGCCGGGGACGCCCAAGGAAAGCCAACCTTCTGGACTCGATGTTTGGGTCTCCAGGGGGCTTGAGGGAGGCAGGCATCCTTCCGTGTGGCCTGTGCGGGAAGGTGTTCACTGATGCCAACCGGCTCCGGCAGCATGAGGCCCAACACGGTGTCACCAGCCTTCAGCTGGGCTACATCGATCTTCCTCCTCCACGGCTGGGGGAGAATGGGCTACCTATCTCTGAGGACCCCGACGGCCCCAGAAAAAGGAGCCGGACCAGGAAGCAGGTGGCTTGTGAGATCTGTGGCAAGATCTTCCGTGACGTGTACCATCTCAACCGGCACAAGCTGTCCCACTCTGGGGAGAAGCCCTACTCCTGCCCGGTGTGTGGTCTGCGGTTCAAGAGAAAGGACCGCATGTCCTACCATGTGCGGTCCCATGATGGGTCGGTAGGCAAGCCGTACATCTGCCAGAGCTGTGGGAAAGGCTTCTCCAGGTGAGAAAGGCACCCTCCCCGGCTCCCCGCCGTGTCCCATCTTGGTTCTGCTTTATGAGACAGTTCCTTGAAGGTTCTGGGGGTGTGGGTCTTGGGGTGCAGGGTCACTGGAGCATGCTGGGTTTAAAGAGAGTGTTTTAAGGCCGCAGATTCGGAGATGGTGTGGCCAGGCGCTGCATGTTAGGCAAGTTCTCTGGCACCACCATGCCCTAGTATCCTCTTCTTCGGGGCCTGTGGGAAGGGGCAGGATTCCTCAGGCCAGAGCCATCGGGCCTCCCCATTCTTCTCCCCGGGTTCCCTTTGTGTTTCCGGCACCAGGCGTGGGGCCCCCTCTGGGGGCGCGAGGCTGGGCTCCTCCCTCAACTTTCCCCGCCTGAATGGCTGCGGAGGGAGGAACTGGAACAAGTGCATCTGGGACTCCTTACACTCCCGAGGCTCCAGATCCTCCGACATAGTAGCTGCCAGGCCCTCCTGTATCAGGCTCCAGCTTTGCCCCTCACATGACCCTGGGATTGAGAGGCATAAAGCCGGATACCCAGGGCTGCTTTGCAATAGTGATACTGTAGCCTTTGATGTATTCTGACCTGGTGCCTCCAGAACCCTGTGAGCCCATAGGGTCTCTCCATATGTTCTCGGGATAGAATGTTTCAAAAGCAGAACCTCTTTTCAACTCACTTTAGTAAGCCTTTTGGGGGAATTGAAGACTGGTCTGGGAGCACAGTGCTTTTTGTTAATTTTCTGTGAGACTATTGAGTAAAAGGCTGGTTTTAACTTTAATCCTGAACACCCTGTATGTGTGAACCTAGGACAGAGAACTCCCTCAGAGGGGCCCCAACAAGGAACCAGTCTTACCGGTCAGACAGCCCCTGCCCACCTGCTCTGACGGGCATCTGGCTTACCAGCCCAGCCTGGGACTTAAGGCTCCATCACTGGCCTCTGGGGACTGAATTCCATCTGAGGGAGATTCATTGGTTGCTGTGGCGGGAGAGGCTGGGGGGGGGGGGGAAGGCGGGGGTTTTAAGGGGGTTTGTGTTGGCCAAAAGGGGGGGGGCGCCCCCCCCCCCCCCCCAGGCTGGGCCTGGGCAGCCCTGTTAATTCTAAAGCTGCTGCCTGGATCCTAGGAATCCTTGCGTTTCTGCTGGGGGGGTGGGGTGGGGTAAGCAAGATCAGAGAGAAACAGTCACTTCCCCTCCCCCTTAGAGAAAAACAGGCTGAGAGGCTTGGGCCTATGGAGCCAGAGCTGGGTGGTGACTTGTCTTTGTCTTGCTGGGGTAGGGGGAGATGGAATCCTCTCTAGGAGAGAAGAGGGAGGAAGGGAGGGAGATTGGTCAAGTTTGGCTCATCTTTTTTAATGTTTTGGTTTAAAGTCTCTTGATTCTCTCTTTTGCAGGCCTGATCACTTGAATGGACACATCAAGCAGGTGCACACTTCTGAGCGCCCTCACAAGTGTCAGGTAGGGGCTGGGCCAGGCTGGAGTTGGGTGGAAGGCAAATGTTGCTGTTCTTTCAGCCATGGTCATGAGCTGCTGTGTGTGCTGGGCTGGCTGACTGACCACCACTCTGCACACACCTCTCCCCTCTGTCACTCCATCCTCCTTCTGTCCTCTCCTTTGTTCTTCCCCCAGGGCTGATATCCCCCTTTCTTGGTCACTTGGTTCTGGTTTCCATGGCCTTCGCCTCCATTCTCTTTCTTAGCTTTCCTGTCCTGGTGTTTGCCAGTTCCTTGAATGGTGGGTCACACTGTACAAAGGTTGTCCTCATGGATCTGACACCTTGCTGGGCCTGGCTGCTGGTTTCTAGTAGTTTGTATGAACTGTAGGGGTTTCAAAAGGGCTTCTGGTACTCCAGCCAACCTTTCCCCTAGTCTGAGTTGAGTGGGAACTCCTGTGTTCTCTCAGAGTAGGGAACTGTATTGTAGGTAGGAGTTAGGAAGCAGGTGGTCCCATCTCCCAACACTGGCACCTGAGCCGCACAAACAGCCACAGCAAGGCAAGATGTTCTCTTTCTGTGTGGAATTAGGTAGGGGAGCTGGACTAAATTCTCATCTTTGCTTGAACACTATCTGGGGGCTCTGCTGGGACCCAGAAAATTGAGTTTCCTTTCCTGGCGTTTGAGCATTTCTGTGTGGATGGAAAATATGCCTCTTAGTTGTCTCCCTTCTATGGTAAGTGCTTCCCACTGAGGACAAGGCACTGTTGGGAGACACTACTCCTAACCTCTTGCAGGGTGAAGGGTTCAGGGAGACCTGTGGGGAAAGATGGATGTGTTGTAGTAGGCAAGAGTCCCCAGGACCAGAGGTAGACAGTGTTCAAAGACGCTTGGCTAGGCAGCCACTCCCAAAGATGTGGATTCAGGGTGGGCCTGCTGGGATCTGTCTGTGCCTTGCTGCCTTCTGTTTCTCCATCTCTGATTCTGTCATCACAGAGCACATTCTGACTCCCAGGTAGTGTGCTGAGCAGTCCAGACAGGATAGGAGGAGCCTGGAGGGCAGTGGGGGTGTGCCTAGTGGCCTGGGGGGGTAACCTGCACTCTCTGCCCTTTTTCCAGGTGTGGGTTGGGAGCAGCAGCGGCCTGCCGCCCCTGGAACCTCTTCCTAGCGACCTGCCATCATGGGACTTTGCCCAGCCTGCTTTGTGGAGGTCGTCCCATTCGGTTCCTGACACCGCCTTTTCCCTTTCTCTAAAAAAGTCCTTCCCAGCCCTTGAAAACCTGAGCCCAGCACACTCCAGCAATGCTCTCTTCTGCCCAGCCCCACCTGGATATCTGAGGCAGGGTTGGACAACCTCTGAGGGCAGCCGGGCCTTTACCCAGTGGCCTGTAGGCTAGCCCCCCCCCCCTTCCAAAGGTGGAGGGGAGTGGTAGCTGGCCTGGGACCCTTGCTTTTGGGAGAGGCCAGGAAGGTGGTCACTGGCCACCATGTCCAGATGTTCTGAAATTTTTCCCAGCTCAGAACACTTAGATGAAGGTAGTAAGAAGCACCTTTCTGAATATGCCTCCAAGTTTCTTTCTGAGCTCTCCTATCTCCCCTCCCCCTGCCTCAACAGGTGATACGCCCTGGGCATTGGTCCTTGTCTGAGTGAATCTGGAAGTTGTCCTGTTTCCAGGAACTAATCCCCAGCTTATGAGCTTCCCTTCCCCTGGCCTTATTTCCATATAGCATGGGGTTTCTGGCCATCCTCTTCCCACTGAGTCACTCCACCTCCAAAGACGCATCAGGCACAACTCCCAATTTAGGGTCAGCTGTGCTGCCGTCTTCCGCCTCACACAAGGCCCAGCTTTCATTTCTGTTTAATGAATTAGACTTTCATGTTTTGAGGACTTCCTTTTAGCTGGTCTGCTCAGGAACTAAACTAAACTAGTAGCTTTATATTGTGCCACCCCACTAGGTGACTCTAATTAGGGGTGGATAAAGCAGGTATCGACCCCCTGGATCTCCCTGGTGTGTCCCTTAGCTCCCCGAACGCCTGCGGGGAGATCAGGAGTGATGATAAAAGTTTTCATTCTAACATTTGAGGCTTTGCGTGTTTTGTCCTTGGTCTGTCATAACATCATTGTCCCTTGGTGTATGAGCCAGCTCCTACCCTTCAGCACACACTCACAGACCTGATCCTGTAGTCAGAACCCCCTTAACAAGGACCTAGCTAGCAAGTGATGTGTTGTTACTCTAGGCTGGCCAGTCAGGTGTGCCAAGGCTTGGTTAAACAGCAGGGACACCTGTGTGGGATGGGGTGCCATGCTGAAAGCACCAGAGGTGAAGAAAGGTCCCTCTGGGAGTGGATTCCTTAGGTCCATATGCCTGTGGGCCCTTCATGCCACAGAGGATGAGGGGCCAATTACAGAGACTGGTGGAAAGGCCATCTGAAAGTAGGGGCAGAAAGCCTCAGGCTTGGTAGGGACCCACAAGTCTCCTTGAGGCTTGTCCTGAGTCTCCTTAACTGGTCCGCATGCCCCCAACCATTGTCCGAACCGGGATTTCAGTCAGAGCTAAAGGGCTGGAGGACCTCAGACCTCTCCTGTTGCTTCCAGTGACCCCACTTCTCGGGCTGGTTAGATAAGGATGGATTAGGCTGCACACAAGAAAGGACTAATAAGGCTAGGCTTGCATGCATTTCCCTTAGATTTTTGGCTGTAGGAGGGTTTTTCTCAACATACCTCCTGTGGCTTCCAGACTTCCAAGGCCTTCAAGGGGTTGGAGGTGTTCACCAGTATTCTTGGGGCCCCATTCCCCAACTGTTAACTCAGGACTGAAAGCTTTAGGAGATGTGGTGGGGTGAGCATTTAGCATGACAGGATCAGGGTTGAGTGGTGATGGCTCAACTCCCAGAGGCCTGAGCTGGTACCTCCTGACAGCTGACTTCCTGAGCTTAGCCTGCTGGCTGACTGTTCCCCTTTCAGGGCCCCTTTGTCTTCTCTGGTCTGCAGGATGGGGAGAGTGCTTTTCTCCCAGGGTTCTCCCAGGTTCTGATTGACCCCTTTAAGGTGTGTCTCCCTCCCTCAGCCCCTTCGGGGCTCTCCTGGGTCATGTGACCAGCCTCTTTCATGTTCTGTGTTGTAGGCCTAGACTTGGACTCAATAGACTTACACAGAAAACCTTGGGGACTTCAGCCACAGAGGGTCAGTCCTGGTAGAGAGAAGCCAACAATTACTTCAGCTTGGCTTTGTAACACAGTCATAGTTTTTGGTTGTGGCTTTTTTCCTTCAGTAGCAGATTTGCATTCCTAATTATGTTTGCTCAGGCTAAAGTTAGCCTGAGAGATAATCAATGGAGGATAGGGTGGGGCAAGCCAGCCAGTTCTGGGATTTTAATTTTGCTAACCTAATCTCCAAATGGATAATCCACTTGGGGATAATTGTCCATAATCTAGGGTACCAAAGTATGACAGCAAAGCCTTTAAAGGAAGGATTCCAAAAGGCTGGCAGGAGAAACAAGGCATCTCTGTCATACCTCTGTAGTGGCTTCCTCTCCCAGGACTAAGGCAGACAGTCCTGAATGCCATTGTTCTACACCTACTTCATGTTGGTTCCTTCTATTTCTGAGGCTTAAAACACAGTCTCATGGCAGGCGGGTTTTGTCCTTGGTTCCCTGGCAAAGCAACTCTTGCCCTGGATAAATGGACATGTATGCCCTCTTCCTCCAGGGGTATTATATAGCCCTTGATACAGTTTACAGCCTGCTAGGCTGAGTAGAAAATTCTGAATTTCCCCTCTTACTGTAACTTATCAGTGATATCCCTGAGTGGGGTCTTCCTATGTCCATGAGACTAAGTCTCCAAGAGGCTTTCTCAGCTGCCTAGGTGCCAGAGCTTCCTTGCACTATCTTTTTCCTCAAGTCAGCACTGGATTCCAAATACATGGGTCAGTTTTGGCACCTTCCATTCACAGGCTGTACCTCTATTGAACAGGGCAGTCACAAGGGCACAGACTATTCCGAATCCTAGCTATCCTGCATCCCCTCGGGGCCTCTGTTTTGCCCAGCTATAAATTGGTCAAGACAAAAAGACCTGAGACAAAAAGACTTGAGTAACCTGAAGACTGGTCTGGTGAGGAGGGTGTTTAGACTGCTGCTTTCTCTAGTAGTCAGAGGCTTGTGCTTCAGGCAAGTTCACTTTCTAAAGTTAGCTTCTTCGTTTGTTAAATGAGTAAACTGATCATTAAAAAAAACAGAGGCAGTATTTCATTAGGATGAATTGCTCTTTTTTTGCTTATAATGAACATAGGAACATCGAAGCTTTTGTGCTGGGTAGATGGCTGGGATTAAGGTAGCAAATGGTAGGGTATCCTCTACCTCCAAGGCATTGCATACCTGCATCTTGCTTTGATTGTGCATCAAGGAGATAAATGTATGTAGTGACTGTTTAAACACTTACCTTGAGATCTCAGGTTATCAGGATCCATTTCTGAACAGGAAATAGGGGCAGCTCCATTTTAACAAGTTAATGGGGAGGTGGTCCAAAAACAGGAAGTACACAAAAAGAGAAAAGAAGGGAGTCCAATTTAACAGAGGCACCTCTTGAGGAGCCAAAATAGCTTGAAAACCACTGGATTCTCCTCTTCAGAGCTTTCTGACATTCTGTGTTCCCCAAGGCTAGGGTGCCTTTGCATGCTCCCAACAGAGGAAGGGGTGTTGGAGAGAGATAATGACTGGGGAACTGGGCCCTCATTCTCCATTCTCAGGGTTTAAGTTCTGACCTTTAGCCCTAAGGTTATCTACCACCATGGCCTGCTGTGAGTCTGCTCAGTCACAGCTTTCAGAGGTTACACACTCCTGGAGATAGTCACACAGCCTGCCTCAGAGGGCTGCTGTGTAGATGGACTACATAAGACGATGTCTATCAGGCTGAGCTCAGACCTGCCTGGTCAGTGTAGGTTGGTACCGTCCTTGTTCTTACCGCCATTTCCCCACTGAAGCATTTCACAGATGTTCTCAAAGCCTACAACCTGCATTCTCTAATTCTCCCATTAGCGGAGTTGACACCATCATTTTATAAGCTGCTTTTTCTGTTCAGACTCACAAGAATATTATGAACTGTTATCTTTGTGCTTTGTACTGCCTTTTCCAGTTCCCTATGGCCAAAACTAATGTCATATTTGAATGAAATGAATACATTGAATTCTTTGTATAAAGCAATAAGGGAAGACCCTAGGACAGAGAGCAGGAAGACTACTTTATATGCCAGTAACTCACAGCCAATGCTCCTAAAGTCAAGTGCTTTTGTGGTTTAGAACGAATGAATAGCCAGGCATGGTAATGTGCATCCCAGTACTCTGCAGGAAGATCAGCAGTTCAACATCAACTTCAACTACACGGAGTTCAAGATCACCCTGGGCTGCATGAGACCCTGTCTCAAAAAGCCAAGAGGGTAGAGAGGGAAGAAAAAAGAATAACTTCACTCAGTAGAGGAGCCTAGGACTGAGCATGTCTATGGTAAAGAACCAGTAATTCCAACTTAAGTATCCCATGGGAAGTAAGAACAGCCTCTTGGTATTGTGAGTGGAGAGCCTCAGCAGCACTGTACAGCTCTGTAAAGGGTGATGAGCAATGAGTTTTGCGTCATGGTATTCTTGGTCAGGTGTGGATGTCTGCTGTTCTTCATCCCATTTTCCTTTCTGTACTCAGACCTGCAATGCTTCGTTCGCCACCCGAGACCGTCTGCGCTCCCACCTGGCCTGTCATGAAGACAAAGTGCCCTGCCAGGTGTGTGGGAAGTACTTGCGGGCAGCATACATGGCAGACCATCTGAAGAAGCACAGCGAGGGCCCCAGCAACTTCTGCAGTATCTGTAACCGAGGTAATCTTCCCACTGTTTCCTCACTTCGGAGGATGGGCCTGAGCTTGCTTGGGAGCCCAAGGATGTCTTGGCCACCCTGCCTCATACTCTACTCTGCATGGCCCACCCTCCCACTGAATGAGAAATGTCCTCACTCAGGCCTGAGAGCATCACCCAGCTAAGACCTTCTCCTTTCCGAGAAGCTTGGGTGCTTGGAATGGGAGGTCCCAAGTGACCAGAAGGTGGAAACACTTAAGATGTGATCCCCAAGCTCGGGGTCAGATGTATCTGCTCAGGTAGCAAGACTTATAAACTTTACAAATGTTGCCAAACTGAGATCGGCAGGGGAGTCTTTAGCCCCAGAGTGGGCTGTAAAGGGGTTCTGCCAGTTGACTCACTGGCATATAAGGAGGTTGAGTCTGGAGATGAACAAGAGACAGAAATTTTCTGACAAAAATGGTTTAAAGAGAGCCCAGACAGGTAGAGTGTGGCCTTGACAGGAGAGCAGTGTGGAAGGTGCTCTGAGCAGGGTGGTGTGCTTGAGGCCAAGGTTGGCCTAGGTAGGATCTAGCCATGGCAGCAGTGTTGTGTTGAAGTCAGGCCTGTCCCTAAGGTTCTGCTGGATCTAGTTGGCTGTTGAAATGCTGGAAGTTTGTTTGCAAGCACAGCGTCTGTTCTGGAGGAGGTCGGGGGGCAGCTGTCTGTGGCCATGAGGAGGCTGCTGTGTGATACACCTGCTGACCAGATGGGGATGCTGTTTGTTGTCATTTCCTGGACCACTCTTATCCCAGTGTTTCTGTAAGTCTGCGATATAATATAACTTAATGGGTTGAGCATTGAACCAGTAGTCAGGGGACCTAAGGTTTAGTCCCAGCCCCTTGCTATGTAGCCTTGAGCTTTTGTTGCCCCCTCAAAGCCTCACTTTCTTCTTCTTTCAAATGCCCCCGTTCCCATTTCATAGGGTTGTTGTGATGATCCCAAGAAAGGGTAGGTGAAAGTTCTCTGAATCCACAAGGAGCTGTATCCTTGGGATGGTCTCTTCTTACACCGTAACAATGGTAGGAAAGATACTGCTCGCTGACAGTCTGGTTTGGACAGGGCACAAAGTCTCTACAGGGTGCCTCAGTTGTCTGTGCTGTCTCTGTGTCCCAAGGTTCCTGGGGGAGGGACTCTGCTGAGTAGATGGGTTTTCTTGGTGTCTTGGAATCTGATGCCTCCCAGAAACTAATACACAACCCAAGATTTGCCTTGATGGACACTGAATATTGATGTTGGTTCCACTAGGAAACCTGTGAATGCAAGAAGTCACTAGCTTCTTCAGACAGCCTGTCCTGTTTTCTGACACTTTCTGTTGGGAGCTTTGCCCAGACAGTGAGAATAAGCAGGACAGTCTTGACTGGGGCTGCCCCAGGCCTAGAGGGCTGGTTTCTCACCTAATTTGGCTTCCTGACAGCATCCCCCAATAACTAAACTTGCTGTACTGCGCCGCCCCCAGGACTTCAGTCAACCTTTCAGTGTTGAAGTTACCAGTCCCAGAACTGGCTCAGTGAGCAGAGCTGAGAACTGCTAAAAGTGGTGAAGAATGCAAATGATAAGCTGGGAAGCCCAGCCTGGATGAGAGTAGGGATGAACAGGACAGGATACTAGGGCTCCAAGGAGCCCAGCTGAGACCAGCAGGGAACAGCAAGAAAGGCGACCCATTAGGACACAGTGCACATGTACATCAGGAGTTTCCCTCAAGAAAGTTCAGAAGAAGAAAACCAGAGCCCACCAAGAGTGGACCACAGGCTAAAGAGAAGGCTGAAGCAGGAAGACCCATTCCTCCAGAAAGGCCAAAGAAAGTTTGGGTCCTGGAGGAGGAGCAATAATATTGTACAGCCTTATCAGAAGAGGAGCGGAAGCCGCCTCTGGACTTGTTCTCTGGCAGAAGTAAGAGGGGACCACAATACATGCAAACAACAAAAAAGAGGAAGGAAGTCTCTTTTTCAGGGGATAGGTTATGTCTGGACAACAAAGGAATGGGGCATGCATGGGGCGCTCTGTCATCGTTTGCCCTGTGCCACCAAGGCTGTGAAGACCACAATTGATTAATGAATGACATTAAATGAATGTCCTTAGGGCTGGGGATCTAATTCAGTGGTGGAGCACTTGCCTGGCATATGTAAGGCTTTGTGTTCAATCCTAGGTACTGCAAAATAAATAACTATTTAAATCTCAAGAGTTTAAACAAAGGTTAAATGTTAGCAAGCTGGTCATTCAACAGCTAAGACTGAATCCAGTGAACTCCTGAGATCCTTCAATCTTCAGTTCTTTAAAAAATAATTTTTATATGTATGACTGTTTTGCCTGCATGTATACAGCAAGTGTACCATGTGCATGCAGTACCTGAAGAGGCTGGAGTTACAAAGGGTAATGAACTGCCACATGAGTGCTGGCCACTGAACCTGGGTCCTCTGCAAGAACAGCCAGTGCTCTTAACCGCTGAGCCTTCTCTCCAGCCTCTAAATATATACTTTTGCTTATAATCTCTACATTTAGGAGACTGAGGTGGGAAGACAGCAATAAATTCCAAGCCAGCCAAGGCTACACAGTGAGACCTTGTCACAAAGGAGAGGAAGCCCAGCCTGGTGAACTATTCCTATAATCACAGCACTTAGAAGGCTGAGGCAGGAAGATTGCTATGAGTTCAAGACCAGCCTGGACTAAATAGCAAGTGCCAGGCCTGCTAAGACCCTCTATTAAAACAGCAACAATAGGGAGCTGGAGAGATGACTGAGAGATTAAGAGCACTGACTGCTCTTGCAGAGGACTAGGGTACGATTCCCAGCACCCGCACGGTGGCTAACAAGTGTCCATAAGCTCCAGGGGATCTGACACCCTCTTCTGGCCTCTGGGTATTGCACATACATGGCATACTTATATACATGCAAAACACTTATACACATAAAATAAAAAATTTTTTAATGGGAAGGGTATTTTTAAAGAGGAAGTTTTTTCCTGTCAGTTGAGCACACAAGTGGCTGGACATGGTGTTGTGCGTTTTCCTAAACTGATTCAATCTTAATGTACCAGATATGGCACCTCCATGGTTTAGACACAAAAAAAGTGGTCCCCAATTTCTGCATGGACATGGAACCTCAGTGGGAATTACAGAGACACTAGGTAAGAAAATACAACTGAAGCACAATGGCCTTCTGCTGCTCAACTCTTCTTTGGGGAAGGAGGGAGGCTCTCTGTATTTGCACAGTGCCTTCGTCATGGAGGCCTGATCAAGCTGCCTCTTTGACTTTTGGTTAATCAGTAGATGGGTGGGTGAGTTTAGGATTCCAGCTAAATACATCTGGCCTCAAAGATGTGTTCTGCTTGGGAAGTGAGCTTCTCTTTCTTTTTTTTTTTTTGAGCTTCTGTTTCATCCCAGCACTTGACTGCTGAGTTGCTGTGTTTAATTCTAGGCTTTAAGTGGCAGCTGTGGATCCATTCTTGCCAACTTGCCAAGTGATTTTGCTATAGATAGTACAATCCACAGTTAGGGGAGCATCAAGAGGATCCAGCCATGTGTTCCTCAGACTGTTTTTCAGGAACATGCGGAAGTTTTTATTAAGCATCTGCTGTATTCCCTCGGTAGACAGCTCTTCCTACTAGGAGTAAATCTAACTCCTGGTGCTCTCTCCCTCCTTTCCCGTTCACTTTGATTGCAGTGGACCTGCTCCGGCATGCCATGGGGAGGGTTCCATACTGCTTCAGAGGCTCTCAAAGTAATTAAGACCCAAAGAAGAATCCTCTTGCACCATTATTTCATCAGAAAGTTCTGATATCTTGTGCTGGTTTCAGGGGCCAATGTTTCTGTTCAGCTTGGTTTTGGAGGTCCCCACAGTGCCAGTCAGAGAGGTGGAGCTAAAATCCTTCCCATTCTTGCCTACCTATTGCTTATTGTAGTGTCCCTCTTAGGAATGTTTACTCAGATGCAGCTACTCTATCCTCCAGTGACTGGCCCCAGGCCAAACACTTAAGTTAAAGCTTGAGACAACTCTCCAGGCAGGACAAGACAATCAGCACCTGGTCCAGGTGGATCTTTGAAGTAACTATGTTGAAAGGAAGGAGAATGCTTCTGACTCCACGTTTCCCACCAGGACCACCAACTGCTATTGTCAGGAGTATTTGTTAAAGAAGGTTCCCACAGGCCAGGCCTCTGTCTCACGGCAGTCCAGTCTTAATTCATCAACAAACATCAGTCACACCGTAGTGGTGTTAATGAACCCTGTTGCACAAGTCCAAAGGAATTTTTGTGGTGTTTGTATGTTGGGACACTCAAGGGGAATTTTATTAGAATTTGAGAGAAAAATAACAGATACGCTATAACTCTCTACAGTTGCTGGAGGAAGGAAATGGAGAAGGGGAGACTTGCACCTTACAAATTAGGCATGGAGATTGGATCTGGAAAAAAAATAGAAAGAAGGTAAAGAAAAAGTTGGGCTTTCTGAGTTAGAACTCAGAAAAATGTGTAAAGTGCTGTAGGAGCTCTGTAGAACTACCGCATTTGACGTGCTGCACCCTGGCATATTATCAGCATTTACTAAGAATGAACCTTCATTATATTTCAAAGTCCTATGGCTACCTGGACATGGTTGCTCATGCCTCTAATCCCAGCACTTAGGAGGCTGACACAGGAGGATATCACGAGTTCCAGCAAGCCCAAGCCACACAGTGAGACTCTTTAAAAAAACAAGCAAAGGAATGAATGAATGCATGAATGCTGTGGTCGGTCACACTTTAAAAAAAAAAATCAAGTTTTGTGCAGACATTACCCAGTTCATTTTAGGCTCTCTTTTAGCTTGGGAATCTCATTGTGATCCTGTGACTGTGTAGTTTAAAAGGGACCAAGGGGCTGGCAAGATGGCTTAATGGGTAGAGGCACTTGCCACCAAACCTGAAGACTGGAGGTCAATCCCAGAGAGTCACATCGTAGAGAACTGACTCCCGTAAGTTGTCCTCCGACCTCCACAGGCCTCCCCTCTCAAATAAATACATAAATGTAACAAAACAAATTTTAAAAGGAACAAAAGTACCTGAGAATGTGACACCAGATCTGGAGTGGGTTGAAGGAACACCATCAGGGCACTGGACCTCACATGAGCCTTATACTAAAAAGCTTTGGTTCCTGCTGAAGGTACTTTCTGCTCCTTGACTGTGGTGGGAGTCAATGGCGTACCTCTTTGGCCTCGTGACTGTTGTGGAAGTAGGCCCAGGATCTGCACTTCCCAGTTTGAGATAATCTTGTGCGTCAATCTGACTTGAAGCATGAGGAATAAACTGGAGTCGCTTAGATGGCTGGAGATCATCCTTGCTTCTTCTCTCAGAGAACCTGGTGGCTGTTCCAAGACCAAACCAAAAAGACTGCATGGATAAGCAGTGGCCGCGCTGTTTCACACGACTGTTTCTGTTCTTGAGACAGTCCGGTCAGTTCCTAAATGATTATTCTCAAGGTGGAAAGTTAAAATAGAGCATATCCTAACAGGTGAAGAAACAGGACCCTGGAGGCATTCCTTAGAGATCTCTTTATCTCCATCCGGTTTCCCTGTAAGTGTTCAGTGGGCTTCTACTGGCTTAAGTCTTACTTGACCACATTTTTAGCCATGGTCCCTGCAGCTGACCAGGGCCTATGGGACATCTGCTCAAACCATCCGTTACTGAGGCACCAAGAGAGCCCAGAGGTGGATGGCCTGGGTCCTTCAGATAGCCTTGCAGAGGACTCTGCAGAGAAGCTGACTCGTGGACAGTAGCACGCTCCATCCTAAGCACATGCCCTCATGTGGTTGCAGCTGTATGTGAGCCAAGGAGGGGACCCCCTTCTAGGTGCAGCTGACCAGGGAACACTAGCCAGAGCGGCCAAAGGAAAGGCATGGGGAGCAGAGAGGTATCTCTTGCTGGCTGTGGGATCTCATCTCCTTTTGTCTTGTTTAGGTTTCTCCTCTGCCTCCTACTTAAAGGTCCATGTTAAAACCCACCACGGTGTTCCCCTTCCCCAGGTCTCCAGGCACCAGGAACCCATCCTGAATGGGGGAGCAGCGTTCCACTGCGCCAGGACCTATGGCAACAAAGGCAAGCGACCCCTTGCTCTGCACTTTGCTTCTCTGCGAAGACTGTGTTGTGGGGGCGCTGGGCCGGGTGTGGGGAGGCGAGAGTAACAGTGGCCTCCAGGACAAAATTTACATTGGGTATCTCTGAGACAGCCAGTGAGGCTTTAGGGCACTGCCGAGATCAGCCTACCTCCTGTTCCCCAGCCTTCCTCCCGTCCTCTTTGCTAGCCCCCACTGTCTTTTGAGGATGCCCTAAGGCAGGAAGAGGAGCCCTGCATGATGAGTCACTGGGCCTAGCCACTGCCTGTTGCCCTGTAGGGTGGTGTGGAGCTGCGGCTGAATGCTTTCTCCTTCGTTGACCCTGTGGGTGGGTGGAAGCCAAGTCTGGCTTCGGTGTCAGTGGTAGTTGGTTGCCACAAGTGGCTCTTTCTGAAGAGCCTCTGGCTGAGTTTGTGAGATGCAGGGATAAATGACACCTGATTGCCTGTGATTTGGAGTTGCTTTGATAAAAGAGTTTCCAGGCTCATCATGAATCATGTTGTTTGGTGGTGTGTCATCGTTTTGTTGCCTTTATTTGTTTTTAAGGCCAGGGGCATGGCAGATGGTAGAGATGGCAGAGATGGCAGAGATGGCATGCTCCACGCTCCCATCACAGACCTCCCATCCTGGCGTGGCTCTTTGGACCAAGGCAGGAAGATACTAGTTGGTAACAGACCCCAGTGTGGGCCAGGTGAAGCAGGGCGGTGAGGGCTGTATATTGACCTGGGTCCTGGGCCCTAGATGGGGATACCCAGCAGACTGAGTTGTTCAGAGTTGCTTTAATCTGTGTGCTTTGTCTGTATGGCTCTGGAAGGGATTTTGCAGGAGAAAAGCAGAAAGGCAGGATTTGTGTAAAGACTGGTTTCCATCTGAGCCATCAGTGGGGTCTAGCTGAGTAGAAGATCTCATGGTTCTGGTTCTGCCTGCTTTGTGAGGGTGTTAGGTTGTCTGGTGCAGGAGACAAGGCATAAGTACACCTGCAGAGCATCGTCGAAATAGTTTTACTCCCAGAGGCGCCCCTGCAAGTACCTAGGATGATTTTGAGCAGAGGCAGGAGGAATCCCTTCTTGGTCTTTTTTCCTTGAAGCAGGCTGAGATGATACACACACATCTGCATGGAAAGTCCATAGTCAGGGAGGCCTGTGGCCCCACGGCCTTGCTGTCTCACCCCATAGGTACTCCAGGTCCCAGACAGACCAGCCGAACCTCCGTGGGTTCTGCCAGGGCAGTGACTGGCTCTTGGCTGCCCTCCAGGGCCTGTGAGCTGTCCTTTCTCAGACCCTCCAGGAGGGGGCATCTCCAAAGCCTAGCCTCATCTCTTCCCTGTTTTGTTCTTTCATAGAAGGCCAGAAATGCTCACATCAGGATCTGATTGAGAGCTCTGACTCCTATGGTGACCTCTCAGACGCCAGTGACCTGAAGACGCCAGAGAAGCAGAGTGCCAACGGCTCTTTCTCCTGTGACATGGCAGTCCCTAAAAACAAAATGGAGTCTGACGGGGAGAAGAAGTACCCATGCCCTGAATGTGGGAGCTTCTTCCGTTCTAAGTCCTACTTGAACAAACATATCCAGAAGGTGCATGTCCGGGCCCTTGGAGGCCCCCTGGGGGACCTGGGCCCTGCCCTTGGTTCACCTTTCTCTCCCCAGCAGAACATGTCTCTTCTGGAGTCCTTTGGGTTTCAGATTGTTCAGTCAGCGTTTGCATCATCTCTAGTAGATCCTGAGGTGGACCAGCAGCCCATGGGGCCTGAGGGGAAGTGAGACAGATGCTTTGTCCCCAAGAAACAGCCGATGGGGACTGCTGAGAAATGCTGTGAATGCGGAGGGAAGTGATGTCTTTGGGTTCTGTAGCTGAGAGATTTTTATTCGTTTATAACCCCCCATCCCTGTCCCCATCCAACGCCCTCTCCATCACCCATTCCCTCAATGGTCTTTAGAAATAGATTCTCATCTGATACTTTGCGGAGATATCTGAGAGACCAGGTATGGGACAAGGGCAAAAAAACACTACATAGGCCTCTAAGGTAGCACCAGGCCTGGTTTCTCTAGTGGCCAGAAACCAGAATTTCTGGTGCTCAATTCTTAGTGATCCCAAACCCAAACCTCAAGGCATTCTGGGACTCAGTGGTTTTGGTCCCTTTATATTTCTAATTCCTCCTTCCCCTTTCTTATATCCCTCAGAAGAAACCACAGTAGAGCCTTCACCTCTCATACCACTTTGATGTCCAACTACTTTAAGGAAACCAGAAGCCTACAGCATCCCACGGACCATGGGATGAGTGTCCTCTGAGAGCCGTCTGAGCTTGGCCCCTGGCCTGGAGGGCCCTTGACTTTCCTGAGTCCTGCTAGAGGCTAGCATTTCATTGCCAGGACAAGCTCAGCTATTGAGGACACCCCCACCCCAAATTCCAGTTCTTACATGATTTTAACCATTCATCTTGCTGTTGGGTTTTAATTCTCTAATTATGATTATTATTGTTATTATTTTTTAGGACCAGTTGTAGTGAATTGCTACTGAAAGCTATCCCAGGTGATACAGAGCTCTTTGTAAACCGCAGTCACACATTAGGGTTAGTATTAAAATTTGTTTAGATGTACCATAATTAACTTGGCTAGTTGTTTGTTTGAAGTCTATGGAAGAAATAGTTTTATGCAAAATTTTAAAAAATGCTAGTCTGATCAGGAAGGAGTTTCTATGATGTTGGGGACCAGGAAGGCGGGAGAGCCACAGGTAGAGACACTGTGTACCTTGGTTGTGTCACATGTGAGCAAGCCCAGGTGGACCTTGTGATGTGAATTGATCTGATCAGACTATATTAAAAACATCAGTACCTTACTCTACCTGCTCCCCTGAGTCCAGTTTTTCAGCTGGGGAGGGTCTTTGGGACCTGGACATGGACAGTCTATACCCCTGTACTTGGGGGGTGGTCCCCAAGAAATCTTGCTTCCTCTTTATTGCACCAGCACCAATGTGCTTGACAGGAGGATGTTCCCACCAAAGATAGTCTCTAGGTCCATTTGCTTAACAAATATTCACTACCTCTCTTCAATGCTGTATAAAGATCCCTTGGCACTTGATGGGACAGATAGACGATTAAGTAAGCAGGTTTAAACATGATTTTTGGATAATGAGAAGTATGTGGGGGGAAAAACTAGCAAAAAGTGAGGAGTAATGGCAAAAGAGGTAGGAGGCCAGGAAGGTGTGAGGCAGGAGTGAGGGTAAGGGAGAGACAGAAGACCTGGAGTTAGAGGGACCCCGAAGTAGTGCTATGCTGGGTCCTACAGAAGGACATGGAGGGAGGAATCATCGGGGTCAAGGGGCTTTACTACGTAGCCAGTTGAATCCCCCCATTATGCTATCCCTCTAACTATGCTATCCCCCCACTATGCTATCTTTGATATTACCATTCATTAGCTGTGAATCTAAAAAGAAAAGGGTAGAAGAGAAGAGCAGCAAACAGGCAAGGGAATGGAGAATTACATGTGCATGCCTGTTCATGTGTGTACAGGTACATATATATGCATGTAAAGGCCAGAGGACAGTCTGATGTTCTGCAGGAGGTGTTCACCTTGTTTGTTTGTTTGTTTGTTTGTTTGTTTGTTTGTAGACAGGTCTCCCAGTGGTCCCAGCTAGCCTAGAGCTCACTATGTAGATCAGGTTGTCCTCAGTCTCACAGAGATCCCCTTGCCTCTGCCTCTGCCTCTGGAGTGCTGGGATTAAAGGTGTGTGCCACCATGCCCAGCCCACCTTATTTTTTGAATAATTTTTGAGTCTCTCACTACCCTAGAGCTCACCAAGCAGGCTAGGCTAGCTGGCCAGCAAGCCCCACAGATCTGCCTGTCTTTACCTCCCTGGCTCTGGGATTGCAAGTGCACACCACCACGCCTGACATTTTTTTACATGTATTCTGGTCATCAGCTTTAGGTCCTCTTGCTTGTAAGGCATATAAGGCAAGCCACTTTATGGACTGAACTGTGTCTCTCAGTCCCATGATGGAGAATTAATGGGAAGAAAAAACAAGAGCGAAAGTTTGGACAGGCAAATTTAAGGCATTCTGAATGTCTTGAGAAATCTCACCGAAACGGGAAATCCCCAATTGAATAGGAATAGCATTTACTCTCCAAACAGCAAGAAAAGAAGCAAGCAAGCGATGAGAAAAGATAAACATTGACCAGAAGGGACAAAGCACGGAATTAGTTTGTTCCACATTAACAGTAATTACACTGTTCTGAGAAAAGGCAATGCTTCCTGGCTGAATTTTTTTTTTTAATATTTATGTATTTTTCTTTTATGTGTATGAGTGTCTGCATATACATACACATATATGTATATGCACCACATGCATGCCTGGTGCCTGTGGAGGCCAGAAGAGGACACTGGAAACCCTGGAACTGTAGCTACAATAGTGGGTGCCATGTGGGTGCTGGGAACCAAACCCTGGCCCTCTGCAAGAGCAGCAAGTACTCTCAACCACAGAGTCATCTCTCCAGCTCCCCTGACTGGATTTTCTTTTTAAATCAGCCGTTTACATGAACTCTTGGTTAACTTGCTGGGCTTTATGGACTATGTAGAATGGAGTTTTGGCCATTTGGTGGGAGTTGACCCTAACATGCCGAAGAAGCTCCACAGATGTGGCTTTGTGACCACTATAGAATCTGCAACCTGATTTGTGTTAAAATACAGACCTGGCCTTGCCAAGGACTTGACTAGGCTGGCCTGAGGTCCTTCTGAAGAAATTCTTAGTTCACCTCAACACACCTGGCCCTGCCTTTGGGCAAGTAGGGATTGTAGTTAAAATGGAGTATCTCAGTAGACTGGCAGGAAGGGAAACAACAAGGTAAGCAGGCAGCCTCTTCTTCCAGGCCACTGGTCACCTGGAGGCTTGAAGAACAAGTGCAGGTGCCTGCCCCCAACCTCCTGTGTCCTTGCCACAGACAGAAAAGCTGTGCAGAACATGTTACATAAAGGGTGAAGGTTTGGGTACCTGTCCACGGTAGAATTTGAGCTTTTGCTCCTGAGCAAATTTCCAAGCCTCACTTTCTTCAGTAGATACGCTGAGAAGGTGAGGAAACCATCATGAGCTAAGACTGCCTAATCATCAGCATAGCCTGGGAAATTGGTTCTGTTACTTTCCCCTCCATCCTGCAGATGAGAAACAGGCCCAGAGCCTGGGTATAAGCATGACTCTTCACATTTGGACTGATCCTCTGGGATGACTGGCATTGTACCCCAAACATTCCTGGCCCTACTGAAGTAAAGGTAGATTTTCCCCAAGTAGCCAGAGAGCTAGTCCAGTCACTCTTGGGGCACCTGGGCCATAAATAGGTCTAGACTGGAGCAGTGCACTCAACTTCCCATGGTGGGGATTACCTTGTGGAGGAGAGGAGACCCCATGCTGCAGAGAATCTCAGTGAGTATAGCTACAGGGAAATTTGGTGAGAGTAGGTGGAACCTGGAGGTCTAGTGGGGTGGGCTGTGGCAGTCCCAGGACACAGCTGTGAGATACTTCTTGTAATTCTGGCAGTTCTCCAAGCCTTACAAGGAGGCTTCCTTGTTTGTAAAGTGGGGATGGCAAGAATGGGTGGGTTGTAGTGAAGCTTAAGAATGTATCAGGAGTTGGGACCAAGACCAGGCACCCTGTGCGAATGAGTAAACAGCTCTCACCCTGGCCTCTATTCCTTTTCTTAGCGACCTTGAGAGACCCCATACTTCCTACTTGGTATTCCCCAAGCACAAGTCCCCACTTGTTTGGTTTTTTTTTTTTTTTTTCTTTTAATGTGTCAGGCCTTTATGGTGACCTCTGGTCACATCCTATTCCTAAATAAACACAGTAACCATTAATAATAATGACACATGAAGGGCGCTAAGCACTCATCTAAACACTTCACAATTCATACCCAACATGGTAGGCACTATTTTTACAATTAAGCAGTTTGCTTCTAACAGCTGTAGGCAGTCCAGTGACAGTGGAGCCCAGCAGTCCATCCTGTTTTCTTCACTGCCATTCTCTACTGGGGATTGGCATGGCTTGACCCCAACTGTCTTATCCAACTGGAGCTCCCACCCAAAGCTGCTTTGAACATAGAGTGTAATTCCCACTCTACCTCTTAGCCTTTCCCACAAGTTCGTGTGTCTGTGTCTTACCCTTTCCACAGCCTTTTTTTTTTCCCCCTGTCTTTTTGAGACAGTTCCAGCTGGCTTAGAACTTGTTTTGTAGACCAGGCTGGCCTTGGTCTGATAGAGATCCACCTGCCTCTGCCTCCCAAGTGCTGGGATTAAAGGAATGCACCACCATACCTGGCCTGCATGATGTACTTCTTATGTTACAAAAAAATCTTTTCTTTTGTAAAGGGGTGGGTTTATTTGGGCTTCCCTCCAGTTTGAGGATGTAGTCTCTGGTGAGAAGACAAAGTGCAGGCACATGAGAGTGTATCCACAGGACGCAGAGAGAGATGAATCCAAAATAGTCTTGACTTTTTCAACCATTTAGAAAGGCAGGTTGGGCATAGTGCCACATACCTGTAATCCCAGCACTTGGAAGGCAGAGGTAAGCAGATCTCTAAATTCCAGGCAAACCTGATCTAAATGGCAGGTTCCAGGCCAACTGGGGATACTGGTGAGACTCCATCTTAAAAAAAAAGAACACATAATGTTCTTACAGAGGACCTAGATTTGGTTTCCAGAACCACATGGCAGCTCACAACCATCTGTAACTCCAATTCCAAGGGATCTGACACCCTCTTCTGGCCTCCATAGCTACCAAGTAGGCACATGGTGCACATACATACATGCTGGCAAAACACTCATAAAATAAAAAATTAATACTTAAGAATTGAAAACAACATTGTGATAAATGAACAAAAGGAAACACCATTCTGAGCTCAGCCTGTGCAAGCACAGTGCTGCACTTGACCCAGGCTGCCAGTTTGGGAGTAAATTCAAAATTTCACAGTTCTCTTGAAAGAGTGCTCATTGGAGAAGGAACTTCTACAGCCATGCCATTCACCCCAAAGTGACCTCAAACACAATCCAAGTTATCACTAGTGTCTTGCAGATCCTGCTAACTCTTGAAAGAAGCAGGTTGGTGAGATTCCCTCTAGTTTACATAGGCCTCAGGTCTGGCAATAGGGCCTTCAGGACTCTAGTCCTTGCACATCCAGGCTTCTTCCCCTCTCTCCCTCGTTCAGCTTCCACTCTACCACCAAGAGGATTAGAGGGTGTGATGGGGAAAGAGGGCAGAATGACTAATGTCTGCATCTCCATCTCTTGCTAAAGTGCTTTGAAAGGAGATGGTAAATATTTAAAAGACCAATCCATGCTAACAAGTTTTCTTTGAGGACAGGGCAGTGCTGAGGTAGGAGCCTCCGAATAAAGCTTTCACAGTGATGCATGGGCATACCAGGAAAACGGCATACTCAGGGACAAGTCTATTGCCCTCCTAAGACCTATGTCCCAGTCCCTAGCAGGTCTACCCCAGGCATAGGTCAACCCCTGCCATCAAAGGTGATAGCAGCTCTAAATAGGGGACTGCATTGCATGGTTATGACATCTTCCTTCCTTCAAGAACATTCTGATTTTCTCCCCTTTTGAGTCAAAATCTGAGTCTGAGCCTGCTGTGTTTTGTGCTCATGTTAAGGATTATAAACTCGAGGAGTGGAACATGTATTCATTCTTTTGTGAATTTTGTTAACTTTTTAAAAAATTTACTATTTTTATTTTATGTGTATGCATGTATTGCCTGCATGTAGGTAAGTGTACCCATATTGTGCAATGCCCGCGGAGGTCAGAAGAGGCTGTCAGATCCCCTG